AGGGAAAGAAACAAGTTTCATTGATCCTCTTATGTAGAATTTAAATTTTCTGTTTTTCTTTAATGAATAAATTTTCTATTTCTATAGAAATTTTCTATCCTGCAGACTAGTTTGGAAGAGCAAAAGGTCCATGAGCTACCTCCTCTCCCCACATGACTCATTCATGTGGCCATTAACAAAATGATAATGTGCATTTTGCCTAGCTTCTTTTTAGCTATATCTAAAGAGTTTCATTTTGTACTTTACGGGGTCCACATCAAAGGAATAGTATGCTTTTAAGGGGAAAAATTGAATTCTATTTTTAATTTATATTTTTAAATAGTCTCTATATCACTACCATTTTCTGGATTAACTTCATAATGATTATTTGGGAAGAGCTAAGGAAAAGGATATAGGGACAAAAAAGAGATCAGAGGTTGCCAGTGGCTAAGGATGGAGGGGTGGAGATTGACTACAGCAGGGCATGAGGGAACTTTTTGAGTGATGAAAATGTCTTATGTTCGACTATGAAGGTGATGGTTGACAACTGTATGTATGTCAAAACGCATCAAAATGAACTTTAAGAGGGTGAATTATATTGTATGTAAAGTATATTTTAATAAACCTGACTTTAAAAATAAGTGAACAGAATTATCCAATGGGTGGGGAGAGAGAATCAATGACACCACTCTTAAGTATCTTATGGGGCTCTGAGGCTCTTATGTGTTTAATGAGAAACAGATTTTTGTCTATGTTGTTTGGAAGAAGAGAGCTTTGGACATGCATGAATACATTGCTGCCATTTTTGGTTGTAAACGTTTCCTGGCCAGTGTTAGAAACTTGTTTATTTAGGTGTTTTAAAATTGGTATTGATATTTCCATTTAAATCTTCTAAATGTTAAGCCTAGCACAAATTAACAGGGCAAATTTATATTTTTGGTAAATTTGAAAAGCTATTGTAAAATTCCAAATTACTTTAGAAATATTTTCAGTTTAAAAAAAAGATGCAAAGCTTCCATATATTCTCTGGATCACTTGGTCACTAAAGTACTTTACAGTGTAAAGTACTTTCTACATTTTTTGGCTATCATAATTAATAATTTTAATAGGCACCTGGTATTCAAATTGGAACGCTTCCATGTATTCTCTTGGTCACTTTGTTCTTGTCATGAATGTAATGCCACTAAAATGCAGCCAGTAGTTTTATTTTAGAAACATTTCATTAGCTACTTCTAGTTGCTGTTTGTGATATTCATCAGAGTGTTTTATGTGTTTGTAATAACTGGGTATCTTTTTTCTGAATGAACCATCTTTAATCAATTATCTGTGAAAATGTTTGGTGAAAACAAGACTCATTTGAATTCATCAGGAAAATCAAATCAATTTATAATTTACGCATTTTAGGATTAGATGAGGAATGTGACAATCTTATGGAGAGAGGTGATGTAGACCTAAAATATTAACTAGCTAAGGACTAATCTTAAGGTTTCTTCTCTCAACTGTGAAACTGACATACAGAATGCTCTTAGGCAAGTTATTTATTAAATGAGGTTCTTCACGAAAAATATAAATTATATTCCTCAAAATGAAGATAAAAATGCTAAGAAGAAAGTAAGGGAAGCAAAAACTAACAGAATTCTAATATACTTTGAGAATAAGTGCTATAAAAAATGCTGCCTTATACTATATATATTGAACCATCTGTATTGGATGCCAATCTTATTCATAATATCCTGACACTTCTGAACAGAGTTGATAAAATATTGTTCTTTTCCTGGTCTTAGATTAGAAATGTGTGAGAAATCATAGACAAAAAAGATCAGGCCCATAAAGGCTTTGATTATTACTGTTTACTCTGCAGCCTTAAACAATAAAATCTAGGCAAGCCAAAACCCTCAAATTTGGGGAACTCTGATTATTACAGAAAGATGCAAATAGTCAGAAGTTCATATGAGAAAAAATTTGGAAACCTCTCAAGGAATGAGCCTGTCCAATGATGAGTTAGTGTAATGTGGTAAACACCAAACAGATAGTCTTTATTAACAAGTCAGACATTAATCTTTCTCATGCCTTTTTGTGTGTTGTAGATAAAAGCCATCATGGCTTTGGTTGCTGTTATCCTTTTGTTAGTGATTATCAGTAAGTATTTACTGGATTATTAATTTGGGGGGTGTCATTTGTTTTGAAGTTCATTTAAATTTCCTTTTTAATTTTATAGTATGACTAATGTCAGGATTGAGTAATGACTTCTGACTCCAGTAAGGAGCTCTTAACCTAGAATCTGTAGCTCTCTGAAAATGCACATAAATTGTATGTAAAATTTTATGTGAATATGCATATGTACAGTTTTATGGTGAGAGTATATCTTTCATCAGATTCTCAAATAGAACCTCTGTCCTACCCTCCACCCCTACCCCTGCAAAGGCAGGGCTAAGTGATTTGTTTGAGGCCAAATATGGCTACTATTACGCTCAGGACCATAACACTCATTTTCTATTTATTTTTAACTTTTAGATATGGCAGCTTGCATTTCATAATATTGTGTTTGAAGGAAAATCCAGATAAATTCTCCAGATGATAATTTTTGTTTTGGATTTGAGCTCCATTTCAGTCATTGAAACATAACTCTTGCCCTTCCTTTTTTTTCCCCTTAGTATTCTTTTTAAAGTCAGATCATTCAAAACAAAATTTTTTTAGTGTAGTTGATTTACATTGTTGTGTTAGTTTCAGGTATACAGCAAAGTGATTCAGTTATATATTATTTCGGATTATTTTCCATTATAGGTTATTACAAGATATTGAATACAGTTCCCTGTGCTATATAGTAGGTCCTTGTTGCTTATCTATTTTAAGAATAGTAGCTTGTATCTGTTAATCCCGTATTCCTAATCTATCCCTCCTCCCTCCCCTTTCCTCTTTGATAACCAGAAGTTTGTTTTCTATGACTGTGAGTCTGTTTCTGTTTTGTATATGGATTCATATGCATTACTTTTTAGATTCCACATACAAGTGATATCATATGTCTTTCTTTGGTCAGATCATTTTTAATATCTCCTTTTCTCCAAAGCTTCTCTATCTATCTCTGTTTACAGGGATTTTACAAAGATTTGGAAAGTATCTCAGAATAACCATTTGAAAAATTCCATGGTGATACTCTTCTTAAACAGAAAAAAAGATTTTGTTCTAAAGAAAAAGTCAGTCCTCATTATCTGTAGATTCTGTTTGTGAATTCACCTACTAGCTAACATTGATCAGTTACCCCAATGCTTTCAGAGTCATTGGCAGATGCGGTCAGAGAAGCGAATGTTAGTGCACAGTTTCTCACATTTTTGTGTGTCTTGTTGATGCTTTTGCTGTTTAAAAAGGCCCCCAAGTATACTGGTACTGCAGTGCTGGCTAGTGTTGCTGAGCACAGCAAGGCTGTGATGTGTCTTGTGGAAGAAATACACGTGTTAGATGAGCTTTGTTCAGGCGTGAGTGACAGCACTGTTGGCCAGGAGTTCAGTGTTAATAAGGCAACAGTATATAGTAAATAAGGTGTCTTCACACAGAAACATGTAAAACAAGGTTATGTGTGGATTGGTTGTCAAAAATGTTGTAGCCGGAGGCTGGCAGGGATTTAAGCCTGTGTTTCCCCTCAGAGCAGTGGTTCAGTGTTTACTCATTCAGTGTTTGTGGTGACTTTACAGAACATAACTACTGCCAGTACCAAGAATCAACCCATGGAATGTTGAATGACATAAAGAAGAAAATAAAATCCAACTGTTCTCTTACCACACAGAGATAGCTACTATTAATATAACTATTGTATATACTTTAAGTCTTTTCCTATTAATATATAAACATGTTTTTCAAAAACTAAGATCATATGTATACTTTCTAATAAATATATTGTCAATATTTTCCCATGTTATTAAATATTTAAAAAGTATTTTAGCTGCTTTATGCTATGGTTATGTATTAATCTATTTGATCAAAATGCTAATGTTAGACATTTAGGTTTGTTTCATATTTTTGCTTCTCCATTCCCATTTGTTATCTATCATTTCAGATAAAAGTCCTCATTAACTATTTTCAAAATGGACACAGCTACATTTAGGAGTATTGTTTCTAACATAGCATATGAGTCTGATTTTGATGTTTCTTTTTCATTTTTTTCTCTTGCAGTTCTTATAGTTGTGAAATACCGTACTTGATTTGATGACAGATCTTCATTAAACAAAATCTGGGACAATAATAATAAAAGATTGCTGCATAATTTAAATGAAACCCATGTATATAACTTTCAGAGCTTCTTTTTCAAGAAATTAAGAGGCAAGTATCACTTCAAATTGGAGCATTGAGAATGTCCCATTGTCTTCTTCCCTTCCAACAAAGTGTGCTTTTAATAATTATGTTTAAGGCAGGGCTGCCCTGGTGGCACAGTGGTTGAGAGTCCACCTGCCGGTGCAGGGGACACGGGTTCGTGCCCCGGTCCGGGAGGATCCCACATGCCGCGGAGCGGCTGGGCCCGTGAGCCATGGCCGCTGAGCCTGCGCGTCCGGAGCCTGTGCTCCACAACGAGAGAGGCCACAACAGTGAGAGGCCTGCGTACCGCAAAAAAAAAAAAAATTTATGTTTAAGGCAAAGATAACCAGCCTCGATTTTGCCATATTCCAAGGGTCTAATTTGAAACTAGATACTTGCCAGTTCATTATTTGTATATATAGTTAAACACTGATAATGATATTTCATACTTTTATTTTAATGGCATAAGGACTTGGATTTGTTGCATCAAGGTGGGGGGTCAGGCTGGTGGTCAGGGAGCCTCTGTAGAGTACCAAATCATTATGTCGAAAGATGTGTGTAACCATTCCATTGATATTTGCAAGATTCTTCTCATATTACAATTGCTTTGCAAGCAATTTTCACATGTTTATGGGTGTAACAAAAGCTAAATGTAAATGTTGCTGCCTTCAGCTGTAACTAACAACATTCCAGTAAACCTAATTTTGACTGTATAAGGGAACGTGTAGTAATTTTTTGGCATTTGGATTATAGAAATGGGAAATTTAAACAGTGTGAAAAGCATAGTATAGTGTCATAAAACTGGAGATAATAAAATTATTGGAGAGTGTCATTGGAGTATTTGAAAGTGACCAACATAAAGCTAGAAGTCATGGTCTGGTCTGTTTTCAGTTAGCCTCCAATAAGGAGGACCAGTCCAAATGTGAGTAAATGAAATCCATACGTATCTTGTCCCCTACTTTTCTTTTTGTTAATAGCTTTCCTGTTTAACTTCAACTAGCCCTTTTACCAGAAGTGCTAAAAGTAGCAAAATCATCTGCTTAGAATTTGCAATTTTTGTATTCCCTTTTTATCTCCTGGAAAATGCACGTGATACATACAATCCAGTGTCAAATTAGCCAACAATAATGAATATAAAAAGTCAGGAGCCTAGCTAATCAGTCAGTCAGAGTAACCAAATGCTAGGGTCACCATTAATCTCAGTCTGTTTTTATAATGATAAAAAGTGTTGTTAACGTTAAAATATGCCACCCTTCTAGGGTTGTTTAAACATGTGAAAGTGAACATACATAGTTCTCTAATGTGTGTGAGGAGGAAGTTTTATAATAAAATTGGAGGTTCTGCAGAAACTTGTGTACATGGACATCTTCACAATGTATATATAACTCTAAATTTGAAACAGGGATAATAGAAAGTACCAGTATTTAAATAAGAAAAAAAATGATCCTTATAGGGATTATTGCTTTGGTAATTTTAATTCAGAATGTATGAAACATAGAATCTTTGTTTGTTTGTTTGTTTTAATTCTACAGGATTAGTACTAAGATGCAAAAATGTTCTCTTTAGAATGGAAAGAAATTTGAAGGGAGAAAGCAGATTAAGAGATATTGAAGACACCTTCAAGTCATGAAGATCTAAATATAATTGCTTAGTATTATAGTCTACTAAGAACATTTAAAAAGAGAGAAAGGTTTTACATACTCTGGAGTGTTTTCTCTGGTCTCCACTTTTCATAAATGTCAATTACTATAAATAACATAATAAATACTAAACCCTTTGACAAAAGATGATACCCAGGAAAATGAGCATTTTTAGAATTTCAGTAGCTTATCTAGTTCAGGAATGGGAGTGTTTTAACTGAGTGGACAGAATCAGTACTAACATGTGTGTCCTTGATTTGGGATTGGAACTAGACTCACCAGTGGTTAATTTTCCGTTAGTTGGTATAGAAATCTGGTTTCTTCATATCTATCAGTGAAGAGGAAGATTATTTCTCAAGAAGAATCCACATTTCCAGTGTTTCTTTAATAAAGTATGCTTTTAAATAAAGAAAATAAAAAATTTTTAACCATGAAAAATAAAGGAAATATTTATATGACAATACCATGTATACATAGTTCTCTTTGTATTTAAATATATTGCTGCTGAGAATACTGGTGGTGGATATGTTACTCTGTTAGAGCTTTGCACTAGTGGTGGCTTGGCTCACAGTTTATCATTTCATCTTTCTTGGTCTTCATTAATCCTGAGACCCTTAAAGTGGCTGGCATGTTTATGACTTTATTATCATAACCTTGGAGACATGAGCCTTCAGAAAAAGAAAAATTTGTTCAAATTGATGCCAGGCCTACCTTCCTCCCCTCCCTTAATCATTGTTATTCAGCTCGGATCATCCTGCACTTGAAAAATGAAGTTTCCCCACCATCAGAACTCTCATTATTTAACAGCAATGCAGAGCAACAGAAAAATTCAGGTAGCTTTGTAAATACTAGTTGATACCCAGTGAAATCAGGTCACTATTTTTATAATGCCTGCAACATACTCTCCTGATTTATGTTTAATTACTGAAACCTATTGCCCTGCAGCAGTTTCATGATAATGCTGATTAATTAGTTCCTCCTACTGATTATAACCCAGTAATACCTGTGGTCTTTTGGCCTGTCTATCCTGATAAAGCTCACTGGAAATTGCCCTCAGGTTTTATAAACTTGGGGATTTCTTGACTAAAGAAAAGTTCAATGTTGAAAATGGAACGTTATCTAAAATGGAGGAAGGGTAATTAGTACACATCAAATACAGAAATACCTTCTGTTAGCGCTCCTGTAGATTGCTTATGATAGTCTTCCTGTGCAGTCACTCTGCACTAGAAAATTATAACTTCATTTTTTTAATAGCAGAATTGGGCATCTTTCAATTCTGTGTAGCATGTGAGTATCCTGGAAATGATTATACGTGTACAAACTGAGAAGAAAAACAAAAGGAAATTTCTCATCAGAACAATCTTAAAAATGCTTAATGGCCTGTCAGCATTGTTGCCCACACTATCTACATCTAAATGTGTATATACTACAATTAGAAAATACACAAGAAATTGTCTTTTCATGTTGAGAATGAATGCCTTTAGAAGATGTCTAACTGTATTGAGTCAGTATTCCTAAGTCTAGGAAAACCAACTCATACTAGTCTAAGGTCATGTTTTCACATGGAAATGTGATTGGAGTCAATTTTATTTTTCCCTGAGTGGAGAGTAAGAGCATGTATGGATCAGTCCAGAAGCATTTACACACTTGTTTCAGAATGCAGCGTAGTGATGATGCTTCTGTAGGAAGTTGCTGCAATGTAAAGACACTGAGTCAGAAGGAGCTGGAAGGTGCCCTGCTTCTCAGTCCATCCACTGTTCCATGTTGTAGACAAAGTGGAACCATTTCTTAGACTGATGTGGGGCTTGAGCCTTCTGTATAAGTTTGTCTTACTCTTTTTCTGGAAATCAAGTAGAATAAGGGATAGGGGGACACAAACTTTTATTCCTGCTCCCGTTTTATTTAAGGAGCTGCTTGGAACAGGTCAGTAGGAATTGAAAGGAAAGCATGACCAACCCAGCATAGTGCTGTGCGCCTGGCCAGATGAGTGTGCCCAGGAAGACTACAAAGACACCGGTGTGCTTGCTCATAAAGTGAGTGTTGGTGTCCATATTCCTCACTGCAGAGACGGCACAATTGACATAATAGTGGGTCTTTTGCCTTTACCAGGACATGGTAGTGCTCTTTTATAATAATTGGGTAAAGAAAAATTCTGATTTTACAGTATTTCATTAGGTTCTTTTCATTTGAAAAGGCCTGGAAATCAAATCATCTGTTAAATATTTGAAGGCTACAAAGTAAATTGCATAAATCAGAGATTTTAGTCAGTAAAATGTCAGAAATCAAACTCTTAGAAAACTCAAGCCCTTGATTTTATGCCTGGGGTATGTGTCATTGTTTTAAATTCGACACTCCTTTCTTTAATCATTTTGATAAGTGCCTTTGATGTTTTAAGAGGTATGGCGGGAGATGAGCAATGAAAAAGATGTGCACCCTGTTCTCTTTTTTTGAATTTATTTTTTATGCAGCAGGTTCTTATTAGTTATCCATTTTATACATATTAGTGTATATATGTCAATCCTAATCTCCCAATTCATCCCACCACCACCCACCCACCCCCCACTTTCCCACCTTGGTGTCCATACATTTGTTCTCTACATCTGTGTCTCTATTTTTGCCTTGCAAACCAGTTCATCTCTACCATTTTTCTAGGTTCCACATATGCATTAATACACGATATTTGTTTTTCTCTGACTTACTTCACTCTGTATGACAGTCTCTAGGTCCATCCACGTTTCATTCCTTTTTATGCACCCTGTTCTCTAGACTGTCAAGTCTTCACAACCATTTTTACCAGTGTTGCAAAGTTTAGTCCTATCAGATATGTATTTGTAGCCCCTCCATAGTAAACAGTCAAATAAACTATTTCATAGAAAACAAAATTAAGCACTTTTCTTGGCTCATTCAATATGTGTTACCTGTTGCCTTAACTTTAAAGCATAACTTATTTGAAATACCATCTGGCTAATCACCCTGATTTAATCCATCCCAGTTTTCCAATAAAGTACATGGAGGAAAAATAAGAAATAAAAGGTGTTCCGTCACCAAAAACCATGCCCAATGCCCAAGCTCTTAAGAGAATCTAGGAAGAATGTCTCAGTGTAAAATTACTGAGTCTCAACTGCAGAAAAAAACAATTGCTGGAATACTCATGCTTTACCTCAGTGATGTCTATTTGAAAGGGAGGAAGGGGGACCAGTTTCTCTTAGGCTTTGTGTTCCAATCAGAAAACCTGGCACCTACCTCTCAGCTGCATATGCTGCTTTTAGAGGCAACTAGAGTAGTGTTCATTCTCTTCCAACTTTCCTCCACCCATAAACTAAATTTTGTCTCTT